GGTCTTCAAACTTCATTTTCTTAGTGAGTATCTCCTTGAAGAACTTGGCATACTTTGGCATTTAAGCCAAAGCCTCAAAGAGTGGAATGGAGATATGGAGCTTCATGAGCATCTCCACAAACTTAGTCCAACCGGTCTTTGTGCATTCTTGAAGAGAAAGAAGTTGAGGCTCGTACTTAACCATGAGATGGAGTGTCGGCTTCACATTCCTAGCCTCATGTTCATTCTCCTCCTTAGGTTCTCGTTCAGTAACCGGTTAAGGGGTCTCTTCTTGAACTATCTCTTTGGTTCTTCCTCATGAGTTAGCTTCCCACTTGTAAGCACAATAACATGTAACCCCGCTCTTTGATCTTTGGGCTTTGCTATGGTTTTATATGGAAGGGCTCCTTGAGATCATTCGGTAAGGGATTCAACAAGATTGGTGATTTGTGTCTCCAAGTATTGGAGACTAGTTTGGTGGCTCATTAGCCCTACCTCAACTGAAGAAAACTTGCTTGTAGCCATCTTCATGATCTTCTTAGTATTTTTAAACTTCTGAGGACTTGAACTCACAAAGGTGGTGACAAGATCTTCAAACTTGGAGATCTTGTCGGGTTGTTGTTGTTGATGTTGATAACCTTCACCACCTTAGGGTCGATATTGTTAAAATTGAAATTTTGTAGTTTGGAATTGTGGTTTTGGTTGAGGGAATGGAACTCTTGGTTGATATCCAATGGTTGGTCCTTGGAAACCCGGTGGCCTTGGAATCGCTGATGATACTCACGAGAAATTCTGATGGTTCTGCCATCCTGTGATATCAGTCAAGCTATAGGGGTTGTTGTTGTTGGTCCCCTAGCATTCAAGATGACATTGACTTGCTCTTCTGATGTGGTAGCTTCCATAATAATTTGGCACTCCTCCAAACACGTGGTTGGGGCTTGAACACCACTCACATGCCATCACTTAGCTCTTCCCTCGACTTCCATCCTTCACTAGCATCTTAATCAGTCCATCAATCTTTACTTCAAGCGAGGGGCTTGACTCGGTTGCATGGACACTTTAATCACGATAACAAATTCTCCTTCTTGTCATGCCCAATCGTACCTCTGGGCTACCATTTCTCCAAATAGCTCAGTCATTTGTGGGGGTGTCTTGTTGAGCATGTTGCATTGACACAAGGAATTGATAAGCATACGATCCTCCTGGAAGAGACCATTGTAGAATGTACCAATCTTGAAGTCTTCATCGAATCCATGTTAAGGGCAATGGAGAAAGATCTCAGTGTAACGCTCCCAAGCATCCCTTAGAGTTTTCATGCTCCTCTTGAGTAAAATGGGTGATTTTTCTTCGAATCTCCACCGTCTTGGATGGGGGGAAATATCGTGCCATGAACTTCTTGACCAATCTTCCCAAGAGACAATAGATAGAGTGGGTCGTTTTTTTAACTAACTTCGAGCATTGCCACTTAGAGAGTAGGTAAAAAGTCTAAATCTAAGGGCTTCTTGAGGCACACTGTTCATCTTGATGCCATCAGTCAACTTGTAGAATTGGTCGATGTGTTCTATTGGCCACTCGTTGTCGAGTCCATGGATCATCGAGATAAGATTGGACTTGATCTTAAAGTTTTTTGCCTGTACGGGTGGATGTAAGATGCTCAATTGGATATCCTCCTGTCGTGGGGACATGTAGTACCCCATGCTCTTCTCCTCGTCACCTTGTTGATCGTCTCAGTTGGCCATGTTTTCAACTATAAACTCCTACTCTTCAACTTCCTCAGACTCCTCCTCTTTGGGTTGAGCCTGAATCAAAACTCACTCTCTTTCTTCCCTTAACTCCCTTTCACGAGAAAGATGTTGAAACAACACAAACATGGAGAGAAAAGGCAAGTTACAACTCAAAATTGCAATAAAATAAAAGCAAGATTAAAATAATTCACCTTTTTCCCAACAATAAACAGTGTTCCTAGGCAACAACACCAGAAAAACTTGACTCGACCCTAAATACACTCCCAATCAAAATCCAAGTGTAACCAACGAGTGGGTGTAGTATAGTGGAATCAAATAAAATTATCTAACCCTAGGGTCTATTGATGTAGTGTTACTTCACTTAGTTTCTTTATCTAGCAAAACAAGAATAGTGATTAAGAAAGTAAGCTAACTAAACTACTCTAGCCAGTAATCTACCTAATTGCCAGGTAGGAGCTCGCTTAGGCATGAATCCCCATAATTCCTTCATTTGAAAGATGTGAGTACTACTCTAGATTGATTGACTCGATAGTTTACCGTGGAGAATTCCATACTAGATTGGACTCTCTATTCGAGTTATCCAATCCCGCTCAATTGCTCTACCCAGAGAGGCATATCATACAACCGACCAAGGAAATTGAGGTGTTCACAAACCATTCCCATGATTGGGCAAAACCCATTAAATGTCCTATAATGAAGTATTGAGGAGCTTAATTGAACCTAAGGAGAAATTCTCTCTCCTAGGTCAAAGCCAAATTGACATGTAGGGGGATCAAAACTAATGCAATTCATCATAAACATCAATTAAATAGATAATAGGAGTAGTCAATCATAGGATTTGTCACATACATCAATATCAATCCAAAATCTAGAACTAGGATTCATCAACCTAAGTGAAGAGAACTAATCCATAGAGCAGAGAGAGATTACAATACAAGCATCAAGATCTTTACTCTTCATTTTCTAGGGATGATCTTCAAGCTCCAATGAGGTTGGGCACCTCGAATCTAGCTCCAAGAACCCTCCATAACCTCTCTCTCTAGAATCATCTCTTGGGTGTTTTGGGGGTGAAACCCCAGCTCTCCCCTCTCTCAATTCACAGCTACAGAATTATAGTCTGCAGAAATAGCTCGAACGAGGTCCCAAACACGCCTGTGTCATCAGGCCGTGTTCGTCTCTAAGTGTTTCGTTTCATGCACGTATAGGAGAAAAGTTGAAGTTGCCCTACCACGGCCACGTGACGCGGCCGTATCATTTTGGTACAAACTCGGGCTTTGGTGTTGATATCACGGTTCAAGGACTGTGACTTCTTCACGCGCATGCGAGACATTGTTTGCCTTTTGAAGAAATCGTGTTCCTAGAAGAAATCGTCAGACACGTGCCCTAGAGAAAAAGGCCACATCATGGGTCGTGACACTAAACACGAGAAATAATACGTCATATCCTCTATCAGTGTTCTCTCTGCTTTCTCCTTTCAATACCATTCTTGCATCCAGTCATCCCGAAATTTATTTTTTGTTCATATTTACGTCCTAGGACCTAAAATGTGACAATCAAATCAATTAGGTAGGTTCCACGATGATGGGCAAGGTGGATGGGTAAGGCTAAGGGGTTATGAGAGCTACCCCGACGATGATGAGATGGTAGGACGAAATGATAGGGAACAACATGGCTACCACAACCCTTGACAGGAAGCAACAATAACATAAGGTGTGGTGGTTACAACCACATATATGATGGTGATGATGATCTTGTGATCAGAGCTAGGCCGCCGACCATTGAATTTCCAGAATTCAATTTCCATGAGGATTTTGGTCTATGGTTGTATGTTGCTGACAGGTGGTTCAAGAACCATCCCAATAAGGAGGAGAGGAAGACGCATCTAGTGTCTTTCTACTTAGAGAGGGATGCCTTTCAATGGTTGGAGTGGTTGGAGAGATCTTATGGTTAGGCAGAGACCTTGATTATATGTTCGAGGTTCCAAGTGGAGCTCAATTACCAGTTTGGAAGGTCAGAGGGGTGGGCTCCGGAGCAACTGGCTAAGCTAGGCAAACCAGGATAGTGGCGGATTACAGGGCAAAGTTCCTCAAGCTGGAGAACATGTGCAAGGGTGTGGCGAGGAAACTCTGGTCGGCTTGTGCCTGGCAGGCATCCGACCCAAGATCGCAGTTGTAGTCAAGGTATTTAAGCCTGAATCCTTGTGATTTGCCTTTAGATTTGTTGGTGCTGCCATGACATCTACCGTTCTAGCCACGTTGGGGTTAGCTCGACCCAAATCCCGAGATCCTCCAAAGGGGTTTGTTAGACTATCTCCCGTTTGGAACGAGCAGAAGATGTAAGAAGGAAAATGCTTCAACTACAATGAGAGATTCACGTTTAGCCACCAGCGCACGAAGCCATATTTGATGAAGTTGGTGGGGCTCTAGGAGAATGAGGATGACGCGGAGGAACAAAGGACGGCGAACCAGGCTGCTGAGGTTCAACATTGAGAGCAAGGTTGCTCTCCAGGAGGCGGGGATGATAGAAACAATAATATTTTCTATTTAATCATTTGAATTCATTTTTTCAGTGTATTATTGTTTATGAATTTGCTAGGATTTGTGATGGATTTTAGGGAAATATTGGTTCTTTTGTTGGGAAGTAATTGTTTGGGTAATTGTCAAAATTGACGGGTTTATATATATTATGTAAATGAAATTAGGGGACAAATTTTAGTAAAATAATTAGAACGATCCCAATCTCTCAATCCCCTCTCTTATCCCTGGGCTCGATCAATCCCTAATTGATCTATTTATTCCCAATTCTTAGAAACAATCCGGGAACACCTAGGTCTTGGTTTCTATAAGAGCTACACCCTGATAAAATCATTATGGTTACTTTGCACTTAACGAACATATTGGTGCTTATATTTACCAAGCAACATCAACAAGAAAATCTCCACTAACCAAGTCTAGTAATTAATATAGGGTTAATGCCACATTTGGTCACTGTGATTACTAAATTGTGTCATGTTTAGTCACTAAAAAAGTTAATATCAAATTTGGTCACTCTAATTACTAAAACAAGTCATATTTAGTCACTCTCCATTAGTCTCCGTCCAATTCCGTTAATGGAGTTCGTTGTCTGCTGACGTGGCTAACGGAAGCGCCTAGTCAGCGTCTTTTTGACCCGGAAATGGTCAAACCCGACCCGCCATGTCACTAAACCCGCCATGTCATATACTCAACCCAAATCATTAACCCAACCCGACCCAAAACCAAATCCTAGCCCAGCTAACAAAACTGGAAAATTTAATTGGTTAGTGGCCTTTTTCAGACCAAAAACCTTTCTTCTTCCTCGCGAAGCTCTGCTCCTTCCTCTAGGTTCAACCATTTTCGATTGAACTCCAGGGAAAGATGAAGAGCTCCACGATACCACCTTGTCCCGGATCCTCCTTCGAAGACGCATTGTTTTCTTCTTCTTCGTCAGGCGCCGCTGTTAGTTTCCTCCATCGCAGCAAACAAGGAAACCCTCAAATCAACATTCGTCGCGAGCCGTCGTCAGCTTCCAACATCGAGCGCCGACAGCAGTGGACGAAACCCTAGATTGATTCCCCCATTGCGGCTCTTCGTCATCGTAAGACCTCAAGTCGGATAGTTTAGGCGTTAATGGTTGTTGCTGAAGCGGTGGCGTCGACTCCTTCCTTACGGTTGTGGGCGAAGATTCCACCACTACAACCCTCTTCTCCTCAAATTTTAGGCTTGACATTGTTGTTGGCGGCGTCAGGATGGAGATTCTTGTGGATAGCGATGGAGATTCCACCATACAACCCTCTTCTCCTCAATTCCATATCCTGGTTGCAAGAATTTCACCCAAATGAAAAGGAGAAAAATGAAGGGGCTTACTCTGAACTTGAAGTTGTCCTTGAAGAGAGATAAACTAAGAGGAGATCGAGGAGAGGGAGGATTGGAGCCGTGCTTGGGCTTCGGGCTAGCTGCAGTGAGCTTCGCCGTGGTGACCCTGGGAGTATTGTGCATGGTTCTACAATGGGGGGCAGTGTTACACCCCGACCTTTGTGTTAAGGTTCGACCATAATACGTGAACGGTTTGAGTAACGATTACGTACTAAGGATTACAATCGCGTGCTAGGAATAATAATAATAATAATAATAATAATAATAATAATAATAATAAGAACATAATTGTTATTATTATTTAAAAAAATAATAATAATAAACCCTAAGGTCTACTCGGCCTCAGCCCAAAGAGCAAAACCCTTACTTCACTGAAAGCAGCTTGGACGAGGGATTTTGCAGTCTCGTGTCAATTTTAGCGGAGAAGCGGGCGATTGCTCTCGCCGCGCATCAATCATCTGCTGCGGTGGCTATCTACTATGAGAGCAGCTTGCTTGGCAGAGGCGGCAGGGGGTTTGGGCTGCCTACTATTGAGAGCAGCTTGCTTGCCGCTAAGAGAGTTTGCTCCTGCTTTCCGTCGCCAAGAGAACTCCCCCGATGATGGACAAGCCTCGTTGCACTCTCCAACGGCAGCAGACAAGGAAGCAGCGGGATAGGGCTGCCTCCTACGGGAGAAGCTAGCTTCCGATAATGGACCAGGCTGCTTGCGATTAATGGACCAGCCTGCTCTTTCACTTTCTAACGGCAGCACCGCAACCAAGTGGAGCTATCTCCCTCTGCTACGTGAGGTGCTAGCTTAAGCAAGGAGGTGATTGAGGGAGGGCAACAAAAAGACGATTCCATTGTTGAGTGGGCATCATTGGATCTACTGCTTAAGCAAGTAGGACCATTATCGGTGTGTCAGTGCCACGGTCGGATGCCTATTTACTACGTCAGCTACCTGCTTACTTAAGCAGTAGGACCATTATCGGTGTGTCAGTGCCACGGTCGGATGCCTATTTACTACGTCAGCTACCTGCTTAAGCAAGCAGGAGATGGGCCGTGAGCGATTAAACAAGCAGGAGGAATAAAGGTTAGAGCCGCGTGAATTTTTCAAGCGATTAAGCAAGCAGGAGGAATAAAGGTTAGAGCCGCGTGGATTTTTCAAGTAAGACTATGGCAAAGCAATCGTCGTTGTAGGGTGGTTAGCTCAAGCCAAGTCGACCTGATCAAGAAGGTGAGTGTAAATGGGGTAAATTCTACGTCTTACGTATTCTTTTAAGCATTACGATTTTAAGTATTTTAGCGAATTGGTTATCGTTGCTGTGGTTATGTGTATGATTGATTATTTGTGCCTTGCTTGAGTTATGGTTTGAGATGATTTTGTGCTATTTGAGGTGATTTTGTTTGAGCTATGCTTGAAGAGAGTGTTTATTAATTACTCTGAAATTTTTACGAGTATAAGTTATTATTAAAGAGTAAGAAACAAGGTCTTTTTAAGAGGTAACTCACCTTCAAGAAGGTGAAGTCGTTTTAAGTGTTTTTAGTCACTAGCGCCAGTCCGTTGCCATTTGAGATTTTCAGATAGAGCAGCAGTTATGCTCTTGAGATCTTTGAGATAGAGCAGCAGTTATGCTCTTGAGACTTTTAAGATGGGCAGCAGTTATGCCCTTGAGAATCGTGGTGAAGAGCCACCACGATAAGTTTAAGATGTTAGGGGGATGAATCGTTACGACTTCCCTAACTAAGTTTAAGTTTAAGTTTAAGGAAAGCCTGGATGGCTTCTCATACGTATGAGTTGGCAACCGGACTAGCTAGTGAGGGATCCCCGTGTCAGTCAAGTATTTAAGTCAAGATTTGAGCTTTAAGAGAGGAGAGGAACTTCAACTCCCTCAAAGTTTAAGAGTTAAGGTTTTAAGTTTGGAAGTACAAAACAACTTCCACCAGTTAAAGTTAAGTGTTTAAGCAAAGTACTCAAGTATAGGAAAGTTTAAAACGTAAGGGCGTAGACTGACCACATCTCACTCACCAGTTCGAAGAGGAAGGAGCTAGAGGAGCAGTTAGAGAGCAGCGAGTTTGAGAGGAAAAGTTCGAGGGCAGCCAGCTAGAGGAGGGCAGTGCAAGCGTCACGGAGGATGCCTAGTTAAGATTCTCAGTAGCAACAACGATATAGACCACCTAGTTATTTACATCTTATGATTATGAGTATAGACTGGAGATGAGATTGAGATTTTAAAGTTTGAGTTTAATTTGCCCACGTGTTAGGGCTTTGCTCTGAGCTACAAGTGTGTGTTTTCAGTATTTTATTTATGAAAATGGTTTCCCAGTTGAAATTTGAGATTTGAGTATTTTATTTATCAAGGGAATTTTAGTAAGAGTAGTACCCGGCCGGGTTAGGGTGTTTCAGGCAGGGCTGTCTTTTGCTGCTGCGGTTATGGTACTAGTACTGAGATTGGAGGAAGAAGATGTACGACAGCGCAAGGCTGGCCTGGAGAAGAAGCAAGACTTAAGGCGTGGAGTGGTCGGGTTGCCTCCGGCCGATGTGGTCGCTAGAGGATGGTGGTTGCGATGGTGGTGGGACGACGGGTAGGTATGTTAGTGGTGGTGACGGGCTCGGGTTGGGTTAATGGGTTGGGTTGGATGTATGACATGGCAGGTTTAGTGACGCGGCGGGCCGGGTGTGACCATTTTTGGGTCAAAATGGCGCTGACTAGGCGCTCCCGTTAGCCACGCCGCCACATAACGGACTCCATTAACGGAGTTGGATGGAGACTAACGAAGAGTGACTAAATATGACAAGTTTTAGTAATTAGAGTGACCAAATTTGATATTAACTTTTTTAGTGAGTAAACATGACACAATTTAGTAACCACAGTCACCAAATGTGTCATTAACCCAATTCATATATATAAACATGAAGTACGGTTACTGTTGCGTAACTATTCATATTTTAATACCCCAAATTTAATTAAATCACAATTTAGTCACTATAATTTACATTTTTCATTTTGACACACCAAATTTAATATTAATGTAAAATCATTGAATAATTATGTTTTGGTATCTAGAACGGGTCCATACACGACTCACCAACAGTTTAGAGAATTAATAATTGAACCATGAACCACTAACTTTTCAGCTCAATGTCGAGTCCAATTAAAAATAAATATATATGGTTATTACTTATTAGAAAGTCGTCATTTTCCACTATGGAATTTGAAGGCGTGAAATTTTAAGCGAGTTTCAGTTCGTATTCTTTTTGCTTCTCTCTGGAGTCTTTCTTTTTCTCCCGGGCTAGAATTTTCAACAATTATACATGGAATGTTTCGCTAGGTATCTACACATATCAAATAAATAGTTTTCATTTTTCTATCAAAAAGTAAATAATTATCATCTTAAATACATCACCATAAAAGGAATTAAGCCTCAAGTATGCAACTTACAGTTCGGTACCTAAACTTAATAGATCTTTATATTTATAACCTAAATTTATTTTTTGGCACCTAAACTTAATAGATCTTTTGTGTATTACATTTTGGTACCTAAACTTTTTTAGTTCTATAAATAGGTCTAATTTTTGTATGTGTAATTAAAACACCCTCGAATAAATGGGTATCCATACCCAAGTACCCAACTCATACAAATTTATATTATGGAAGTAAATATCCATATATGGCGGTCACCCATACCCTACCCATAATCAATGGGTCTACTTGGGTTTAGGTAAATATCATTTACTAGCCAAAATTTTCAAAAAAAAAATAAATTGGTTGTTGACCACCATATATCTTTTTCTAGTCAATATTACTAACAAAACAGCTAACAAAAATTAATTTTAGACTAATAATACTAACAAAACATGATAACAGACCACATAATACATGCTCATATGCTATCTCCGCTCCGCGACAAGGCGCGACATCGCCACCTAGTTTTATATTAATAATTGATGTAATTATGTGCTGGCTAAGCCAAGCATCCATACATATGTCAATCATCTTTGTCAAACTGGTTTAATCATTGCATCAATTTAGCAAGTGATATAGTTCAAATGGATAACAACTGATTTATACTGGTTGAACAAAATAAGTAAATGTGAAAACAATTAATATCAAATGAATTTCAGTATTTGTAAGATATATTTGAAAAACAATCTACTTACAATCTACATTCATATTTAAATAAAATACAACACTCCAAACAAAATAACAAATATTCATATTTAAATACAATAACGACAACAACCAAACCTTTATAGTTGAATCCAACATATAATATCTATATATAGCTTTAAATTTGTGAAATAAATCACATGTTTTTTTGTTTATTAAATTTACTTAAATGACATCATTTTGCTTAGGGACCGAAAACAATTATATCGATAGTATTACATTCGATTTCATGACCAACACCAACTATATCAGATTCAACTGGCTTACATTTTATCTCGAACTCTTTAGTAGTGATGGCAATTTGAACTTGCCCCCTGGTATTAATCGACTTAACCCGCGATGGGACGTGTATTACCTGACTCGTAGTAGCGTGGAGCGGGACATGAGTATCTACTTTTGAACCATCTTGCCTCGCCCCGTTCTTGACCAATTTTACCTCAATTTCTTACAGTATCTATTCATATATATATATATACATATGGTAGAGTATTCGGTGCACCCACTTTTTCAGGTGCACTCAGTGCACCCGCATCATAATTGTCATTCTGAGCATGCGATTCATGTCAAAATGGTATCAATTGTTGCTTATGATATTGTGAACAAGAAGCACTTGAATTTGAAAATAATCCTTTCACAATTTACTTTAATTCAAAGGATTTAGGATTTAGGGATTTAGGGTTAGGGTTTAGGTTTACAATTTGGGATTTTGAGTTGGGATTCAAAATTGAAAGTTAAGGGGTTAGGGTAATAGATTGATTTGTTATGATTATATGTCATATCATCATATTAGATTGAGAGTACTAATTAAAGTTCAAAATTTGATGTATTATGGACACTTTTAAAGTTAGTGCACCGAAGTAGCCGCTATATATATATATATATATATCATATGAGTATCTACTTCCACCCTGCCTCGCCCCCGTCCCGTTCTTGACCAATTTTATCTCAATTTCTTAAAGTATCTATATCATATGAGTATCTACTTCCGCCCTGACCCGCAGTAACGTGGGATGGAGCATGGGTGTTGAGTTACTGCCCTCTTGATAGAAACCCAATTTCCGGGTTTATTCATAATTATCATAATTACTATAATTAGGAAATTATTATATATGGTTAGTAGTATTTGAGTCATAATAGGATAGTCTATTAGGTTTTTCCAGCCTTTCGTTATAAATATGTACTCTGCGTTTTATTCAGAATGAATCAAGAAAGAATTATCAAAGTATCCTTTCAAACCTAATCTCTCCTAATCCTCTCAAACTCTCTTCTCCCCTAATCTGGCCGTCGGCCATTCAGTTCTTCTTCTCCCTAAATTCTGTTCCTAATCCCTAATTCTCTTCTAGATCCCTAAATCTCAATCAATTCCCAAATTCCCAACCCAATCGATAGAACCCTAGAAATAGGTTTCTATCATCTGGTATCAGAGCCCGGTTCCGAGATTGAGTTCGTCACAACTCTGAACTAGGGACGATTGCACCATAATGAGCTTGTTACAGTTCTTCGATGCCGAGTGGTAACGGCTATAAGCATTGCTGGAGCAGACCTTGGAACGCCGTAATCAAGAGGCATGGATGAGGGCGGCGAAGCGGGAGGATGCGGCTAGGAAGTTGCTGCCGCAAGGCCTAGCTATCGGTGCCACTTCCACATCAGCAACCACTATCATTGGGGCGCCATCATCCTCAGCATCATCACGAGCCGTTGCTCGTCCCGTCAAAGCCGTTGTCGAGATCCTCGAACAACAGCAGCCTGTGGTGATCACCGCCGAGTTGTCGAGGAAGGAAGCGCCACCGCTGCCCGTCATGGCTGATGAGGTCGTGATGACCACCGTGATGGGAGTCGCTACAGGCTTGCTCAAGGAGGATCAGGGTAAAGTAGCAAGGACGACGGTCCCTGAGGTGTTCGAAGAAAAAGAAGGTCCGGTTGGCGAGATCCTTGTCGACCGGCAGCCGCCTCGGACACCCCTTCAAATCGCCTCACGATCACCACCAACCTCCGATGTTGCCCCAGCATCAGTCCAGGTTGCTTCCATATCAACGCCAGTCCAATTTAATCCTCCAATCGACCGGTGGAAGTTCAGAAAGAAGCAGCAAGGCCCTAGAGATGGATTTGATGGTGGGCAGAAGGCTCATGGGAAGGCGCCCCTGACTGAGGGTGAAGAAGCAGAAAGGTTGGTGAGGCGAGCCGAGTCAGTCCTCGACAAAGAAGCTGCCAGGAGTAAAGCTCCACATTCTCCCTCGACCGCAACGACCGCGAAGGAAGTCGAGGAGGTTGTCTCGGAGCCTATTTCGCCCTCAGCTGCCATCCCTAACATCATCACCATAACTGACGAGCAATCGAACCATGGTGCAGCAGTCGCCGTACTTCCATCATCCATTGCCAAAGAAGAAGTTCAGGAAGCCGAAATTACACGCGAACAACAGCTGCTGCCGACATCGACCTCCACGCTTGACCACCTTGCCTTGCCGGCATCACCAACCACCGTCGCTGCCGCTTCAAGGACGGCAATCACCTCGGTCGTGGCAGCAGAGTCATTCGCAGAGAAGATTGAATCCAATCTGAAAGTGGAGGAGGTATTGCAGGTAAATCTCAAAGAGGCTGAACCTCTAATTGGGAATTTGTTGGTGAAGAGTTCAAGGTTCAATTGGAAGTTTCGGAAGAAGTTGAAGCCCGATGAAGTGGAGCCGGCGACCGACGCGTCGAGCATCACCGTTGCCTCGTCCGCGTCTTCACCGATTCGTCCACAAGTTTCAGCCAAGGAGAAGGCCCCCTCCATCTCTAAACTTGAGGCCACCGCGTTATCAACCGACGGGACGGCGAGGATGACTGGTGCCAACCGGGAACTGGAAGGCGAGGCGATGAAGGGTTCTCGGGTTGTATCACCGAGGTCTCGAGCTACACGAGGATGCAAGGAAGATTCCGCCAAGTTGTCGATCGAGAAGAAACAGCGGCGGAGAGGCATGGCATCGGATTTTCCTGGGATTCGGCTCGTGGACGGCGCGCTCGAGGAGAAAATGCCGCCTGGGGTCGGGCCGTCGAGGGAGAAGAAAACCAGCAGGGCGGCGGGTCGCGTTGGACAGGAGGAAGAGTCGAGGAAGGAGAGCGGCGACAGCGTTCTTCGGACCTCCTCCATCCGCATAGAGCAGCTGGGTCGAGCCTAGTTGGACCGAAGCAGTCAGATCGAGTGTTCCGATGGGCTGGTCACTGTTTTGCGTAAGTCAAATCTCAGGCCGGAGAAAGTGAAGGTGGGTAGCTTGATTAGAGCTCTATTGTTTGAAATGGGCTCAATTGCTTGGGCACCTAATTCTGTGGGCTTGAAATATGACCTTTTAAAAGAGGATGACCCAAACAAGATTGAAGGCTCCATTAAGCAAATTAATGGGCTAGCTCCAAGAAAGAAGTATAAAGGCCTTGACGAGTTAGTACTTAAAGATGCGTTCTTGAAAAGGAACGAATCTTTGGATTCTTTAAGTTGCCGGAGTGTGATACCCACAAAGGAGGAGCTATTGAAGTTCGACTTGGTCAATGAAGCAATTAGTGGGCCCATAGAGGTGAAATTCAAAGACTTGAATCAGCAACAAAAGGTCGAAAAACGGAGGTCAAGTGAAGAATTGGAGCCTGATTGGAAGAAAAGAAAGCGCGAGGAGTGGAGGAGACAAGGCGCGGTCTACACGGGCGATGTGAAGAAATGGGTCGAGTCGGTCAACCTTGAGGACAAGGTTGGTTTGAAGGGGGAGGGGATGATAGAAACCCAATTTCCGGGTTTATTCATAATTATCATAATTACTATAATTAGGAAATTATTATATATGGTTAGTAGTATTTGAGTCATAATAGGATAGTCTATTAGGTTTTTCCAGTCTTTCGTTATAAATATGTACTCTGTGTTTTATTCAGAATGAATCAAGAAAGAATTATCAAAGTATCCTTTCAAACCTAATCTCTCCTAATCCTCTCAAACTCTCTTCTCCCCTAATCTGGCCGTCGGCCATTCAGTTCTTCTTCTCCCTAAATTCTGTTCCTAATCCCTAATTCTCTTCTAAATCCCTAAATCTCAATCAATTCCCAACCCAATCGATAGAACCCTAGAAATAGGTTTCTATCACCTCTCCATTAGGGATGGCAATGGGTTGGGTTGGGTCGGGTTTTGCCAAACCCAAACCCATGGGTTTATCCGTGAAAAAAAACCCGGGGTAAAACCCACCGGGTTATAAAAACTCAAACCCAACCCAACCCGTTGGGTATCCGCGGGTTCATGGGCACTCACGGGTTTTTGTCGTAAAAAATTACAATAACAAGTTCCTATCAAAATTAAAACCAAATATCAATCTCTCAATACAAATTATTCATATATAAAACAGCATTCTAGAAATTCAAGCAAATCACAAATTAACTATACAAATTGTTCAACACCAATCTAGAAAACTCAAGAAAATTGAAGCAAATCATAAATTATCCATAAATAACATGATCAATTGAAAACTTCTTCCTTTCAATTAAGTTTTTTCACTCTCCACTCGATAACATCAACTTCGTTCTACACAATTAGAAAGAAAAATTAGACATGTCTCCACAAACAAAAATAAGATTAGTTGTTTAGAATATTAAATATACCGAGAAAATTAATTATATGGGTGTGGGCGGGTACCCATGGGTCGGGTTTATCTAAACCCAAACTCAACTCAACTCGATGAATAGTGAACGGGTTTAAGCCCAAACCCAGCCCAAAACCCGTCAACACGGATTTTACCCGCGTTGACCGGGTTGAATCGGGTGGGTACCCGTGAGTTCGGATTTTGTTGCCATCCCTACTCTCCATTGCCATCACTAGAACCTTATCATAACATTTCAAAAAAAAAATTGCCTTCTTGGAACAAACAAAATCCTTTGTTCCCATTTTATTAAACTCCCTGGAAGCCCGAACATATGAAGTCCTTATGTAGTTGAGCAGCTTGACCGATGACAGTGAATACGGATGCCATTTCTGATTTCTACCTCAAATTTCCGGTGTATGTGTTTTCCTTCTCCATCTCCAAGGAGGTGTACTCTGCAAAGAGGAAAAAGAAAGGGCAGCTTCCTCATTTATCAGCTCTAAACTAAAACCCTCTTCCCATCTATACTTTATGACGAACTGAAAGAGTTAAAGTGACAAAAGTGTGGCTTCTTAGCCAAAAGCTTCCACCTTCTTCACAGCGCAGATCTGTAGCTTCCGCCTTCTCTGCCACTTTCGTGTTCCTTACGAACTACTTAAAAACCCCCACCATTTGATTCCAGCTGGTTCCACCTAAAATTTCATTTCTTCAACTCTTCCCCATGGATCTATAGCCCTTTCATTCCCCCACCCCAAAAGAAAAAAATTCATCTTGTTCGTCTCGAGATAGACACCCTGGTTGCTGCTTCTTTTTCATTCTTTGGTGGGAGTTAAAAGGTGAAAAGCAAAGATGACCCAGTTGCTGTTCTTGGTTTTGTTTGCGGAAGTGGCCATGGCATTCTTGCTGCTAGTAAAGATCGGGCCTTTGAGGGAACTGGTGCTCAAGAGTTTGGATCAGGTGAAGATGGGGAAAGGTCCCGCCAGTGTGAAAACAATTGCTGGTACTATGTTTGTGATCCTATTGTCGTACCTCATGAGCATCGTGAAGATCCAAAACAAAGGAGCCAAGCTTGGTACTCTGTCGCCTATGGACCAAGTTCTCTGGAGAAGCCACTTGCTCGAGGCTTCACTCATAGGTAACATCCTCGGATTTCCTTGCTCCTGTTCTGTACTGCTGGTTGTTATTGTTGTTGGAATTTCAGTCATGGATGATTACGCAAGTGTCGTGGCCTAGGTGTGACTGAGGGCGATTGAGGGTCTTTTTGCTAGGACGAGGAAGTTCGTGTTTGTATGTCGCTTTGGCAGTGATCTTTCAGAGTGCAGCTTGAAACTAAAAGTTGGTAAAATTATGTGGATGTGATTGCCTGATCAGTTTGAAAAGTTGAGTTAAGGAGTTGAGTTAAAAATGGGATGTAATTCTAGGAACAGAAAATTGGCAATGTTCCCTTCACTCTGCTGATACAGCCATGGAACTTTGTTTTAGAGCAGCCTTGAAGCTCTAGGTAGGTCCCTTAACTTGCGAAGGAGAAGATCTGGATGATGTTTTGCAATGCTGATGATGTGAGGTTCTATGTGCAATAAGGCCTTATGCTGGTGAATGCATTGATGGATTTAGATTCACTTATATGATAGTGTATATTTATTCATACTGATGACAGTATGGAAAATTAAACAAGCCAAATCACAAGAGCAGCCTTCATGGGTGCTAGGAAATGTGGGAATTGGTATCTCGAGTGAAGAGAAAAAACGGAATGCGCTATTGAGGCCATATGGTAGCTTGAAAGTATTGTTCTTGATGCTTTCGTCTTCCAAGGACTACTGTTTTCCTGTGATACATGGCAGTTAACTTCTCCACGACTGGAATTGATAGGACTCGGATCATTTACTTTTAGCCTTTAGGCTACATTTTACTGAGCTGGATAGAAAAGCCACTATCGGTTCTTTCTTGAGATGTGCCTTTACATTTATCAGTTCAATTGATGTTCTATCTCATGTTGTCTGGAGTTTTCTTGTTGCTGAGGTGACTGATGCTGCTCCTTTTAGCTCCTGAGAACTGCCAGTGATTCAGTGGAAACAAACTGTGTCGAAAAAAGCTTTTTATTTCCTACATCTCAAATTGTTTCATTTTGATGTGGCAGGTTTTACACTGTTCCTCGGGTTTGTGATTGATCGTATGCACCACTATCTCAAAAAGCTAATCGGTCTCAAAGGCAGCGTTGGATCATCAAAAGATGAGTTCGAAAAGCTTCAAAAAGAGAACGTGCAGCTCAAAGATAAGGAAGAGAAAGCTTCCAAGAAAATTAAGCAGCTTCAGGAAAAAATCTCAGCTCTATCAGAAGACTTGAAGAAGGCAAAGCTCGAAGCAGAAGAAAAGGATAAGAAGATTGAAACAGCTGAAGGCCATGTCACCGCCCTCCAGAAACAATCTGCAGATCTGTTGCTGGAATACGACCGGTTGCTTGAAGACAACCAAAACCTTCAGGCTCAAGCTCAAGGATACAAGAGTTGAGAAGGAGTGAAGATGAGAAATGATAACCTGTTTTTGTCTCAGTGGAACTTTCAAAACGGTGCTGGATGTGCTTCATTTGCTGGAAATGGTGTCACGAGTTATGGCAAGGGTGCAGAGGTGGAGGGAGGCAGCATGCTTCGTTTTGTAGAATAGGGGACTGATTTGTAATACCAAACATATCTAGAAGATTTGAAGTTGTTGAATATATAGACTCTGGCTCATTGATCCGTTCTGGTTTCCTTCCAATCATAAAATTTTCCATAAGAGATAGGCCATTGATAATTGTACTTGGAAACAAGCCAGCGGCTAAGAGAATTGTCATTTGTCAAATCGTCGTCATTTCTTGTACATCGGGTCTCAAATTTTCTGCAGCAGGCTAAATATGCTTGCCAAATTAACAGCTGTGTAGTACGAAGCAGCTTTGAAAAGACAAATTTTGGTGCTGTTTTACTACACGTACAATGCAGATACAAACGGGCATATATCTATCTATCTGAGCTCTTTCCCGACATCTGAAAATTGAAAGAGCAGGTCACTTACAAGCATAAGCATTATCTGCCGCTCGCATGTTAGCTTCATGAAATGAAAGCGTGCAACCCACGTTTCTGTGTGCTTCTGCACAGACCTAAAGCATATAAAAGGAAGCAATTCAGGCTCCATGAAAGACCCGCCACTTTCACTTTGGTGCCGGAAAGCCTCTCCATTTCTGCCGTCTAGATTCTCATGGTAATACCTCGCACTGCATATTTCTGCCCTTGGTTTCTGCAAAACTTATGATATTGAGAATCCAGAACAAGAAAACTTCAGCGAAGTAATGCCACGAAAGACAGCACGTGGTTTTGGCAAAAGCTAGGAGTGAAAACTGGGTCAGATATCTCAGTCGTTGCAGCGGCATTTTGGAATAGGATGAATAAGCCATTGCAGTGTAGGTGAATGATTGGTATTGTATCAGTCCAACTGGAAGAAACAAAGCTGCTCAGGACATGTACCAGAAGATTAGGCAGTCAAATCATACAACCAGCCTTTTCTGCAGGTACTCTAGTCCCCTAGAAGATCATTCAGTAAACATACGCTGTCTTGATTTGCACTGATGGATGTCATCTCATGTACCAAATTATCCATTGTTTGTAAGATATCCTCGTACTGATGGTGGTTCCTGTCTTCCATTAGAAAAGCTTGGTGTTTTCCATTCACTTCCACTGAACTAAAACCAGGCACTTTCCTCATTCCCGCCCTTTTCATGGTCCTCCTTGAAACAGAGACTTCATCCCACTTCTTGGCCATGGAAAAGAAGTTAGAAACCAACGAATAAGTTCCAGAGTCATTTGCGTTCGACTCAAGTATCTTCTTTGCTGCCACCTCTCCTATCATTACGTTCCTGCAGTTATGACAGCCTGACAATAGGGAAACCCAAACAGCAAGTCCTGGTTCAGAGTCCATGGACTCAATGAGCTGACATGCTTCTTCCACTCGCCCTGCCCTGGATAAAAGATCGACCATGCATGCAAAGTGCTTCTCACTAGCTTGAATCTTAAATTCGTTGACCATTTTATGAAACCAACATTTCCCTGCTTCCACTAATCCTGAGTGACTCAGAGCTGAAAGAAGTGAAGCAAAAGTTGTATGATCTGGTTTCACGTCTTCTGTTACTGTCATCTCTAGAAAGAGTGAGAGGGCTTCCTCTCCATGGCCATGGATCCCATAGCTGGAAATCATGGCATTCCACATTATTAGATCTCTTGAATCTACTCGGTCAAACAAAATTCGAGCACAAGCAAGTGATCCACATTTGGCATACATGTCTACCAAAGCAGTGGCTAAAATCTGCTCGAAGTTGAGCCTTCTAAGGATATATCCGTGTACTGACTTCCCTAGTTTCAATTGCCCTACTTGTGAACATGCCAAAACTGCACTGATGAGAGAAACTGAATCTGGCTTCACCCCAGAACTCTGCATCTCAATCAACAATTCAAGTGCAGTTCCTGCAATACCATTTTGCGCATAGCCGGATATCAGCGCACCCCAGGAAACAGCATTTTTAAAACGAATCTCTCTGAAAACACGAGAAGCAAGCTCCAATTTTCCGCATTTAGCATACATATCCACAAGGCTAGTCCTAACAACTACATCATTCATATGTATCTCTCTCCTAACCATGTATCCGTGAACTGAAAGACCCACCGTAATTTCTCCAAGTTCAGAGCAAGCCTGGATTAAGCCCACCATTATAACCCCATCTCCTTCAATCCCCTCCTTCTGCATTCTCCTGTACATGTCCACTGCTTCTAACGGCTGTCCACTGCGCAGGATCCCAGTTACCATAGTGGTCCAGCTCACAACATCTCTCCTGGCCATCTTATCAAACACCGCCTTCGCTTCATCCAATCTCCCGCACTTGGCCAACAAATTTAGAACAGACGACGCAACAAACACATCACCCTGGTATCCAAAATCCACAGCTTGACGCCAAATTTCCTTTCCCACGTGTAAGTCCGGCAAGGTCGAGCAAGCTTTGAGTGCCACAGTAAAAGTAGAGCTATCAGGCCTAACTCCCTCGGTTATCATTCTATGGTAAAGACCCAGAACTTGACTTGGGGAACGTTCATGAGAGTACGCAACGATGATCGAGTTCCATGCATCAACGCCTCTCTGAGGCGTTTTGTCGAACACTTGGCGTGCGGTTTCTATGCCGCCGGCGCGGGCATACGAAGCGATTAAGCGACTGACGGTGCTGCCATTGGGGTAGAGACCGACAGTGATCAGCAAGGCGTGGATTTGGGTTATGGAGGTTGTATCCTTGCAGGTTAAGAGTAGAGGCTTTAAGCGAATCAGCCAGGGAATAGAGCGCATTTACGCTAACTGAAGGCAGATTAGACAATGTACAGACTTGGCGATCATCTATGACGTGTTGGTTACAAGGACTATCGAACGGGTCCATCGTGTTTGTTTCTTTGGTTTGACTAGGAATGACAATGGGCAGGTTCGGGGCGGGTATCTCGATATCCATTCCCGTCCCGTGGCAGGTCGGGTACGGGTCGGGTAATTTATTATGGGGCACGGGTCGAGGCAGGTCGACTCATTGGGTATATAATTTATGCGAAAAACATTAGAATTATTCGTTATTTTAATTAAAAGACCAAGAAAGAAATCATAATTTGATAAAATGTAGTTAAATTATTGGAGCAATTGAGTTTTTCAATTATTTACAACTTTATTATACATAAAATATGATGTAATAAGAGGAAAATCCTAAGTAATTTGACTAAGATTACATGTAACTTAGGCCAGAACGGGTCGAGAATGGGGCGGGTCAGAGCAGGTCGGGTCGATGAGAGGTACCCATTCCCGCCCCGCCTATGGGGCGGGTTGGACCCGCCCCAAAACAGGTCAAACAGATCGGGTAACTCGGATCAGGTCGAAATTGCCATCTCTAGGTTTGACTAACTTATGATCCGACCGATGGGCGAGTTAGCATTAGCCATGATGTAGGTTGATATTTGGATATTTCAGGCTGTTGGTTCGGTTAGGCTGGGTGAACCGAACCAATCAGAAACCAATGATGTGGGTTTCCATTTTCGACCTTCTTATCGGTTTCGGCTCAGTTAGAATGAATGAAACTTGGGTAGTTGGAACCGATAAGAAGTCTACTTTCCCCACCGAAAACCCTAACTTTGGTAGTTGAAAACCAGAAAATTGGGCACTTTGTTGTACTATATTTCAAAATACCTAAAACGCATTTCCATTTATCTCCCACAAGGCTGAAAAATCCAAGAGCAAAGATAACACCTTTGGAAATTATCACGCTTCCATCTTTGGGGAGGCAGAGGCAGCGACTGAGTTCACACCTTCAAGTGGCATCGTCAATGAGCTCTTCTCTCACCTTTCCTTTCATTCTATATTGGTTTCCTTTACTTTCTTGGTGGATGAAGCGGTGGCTTACAATCACATTAAGGGTATTATTAAGCTTAACTCGAGATGTCATATTCTCACCTACTGTCTCTTTGCATATGAAACAATGATTTTAGGGAAGGTTCAGTTAAAGAGGCAATAAAGATTCTTGATAGCACAAATTACTATGGAGTGATCACTCGACGAGAGGTGAATACAACCAATTCATCAATATTCTTCATCGACAATGCCAACAGGAAGAAAAGAATATTGTCATTGATATGATAGAATTTGTTACTATAATTTCACTTTAAGTATTTGGGAGTCCCTACTAAGCGAGCAAGTTCAGAGAAGAAAACGTTATCATTTCTCACCCAAGAATGGAGAAACAGAGAGAAGCCTAGACGAGCCTTCTACTATCACTAGGAGGGGGAGCTGAGGTACTTCTCAAGGTAGTCACTTAGGTTATCCCAACTTTCATTATGTGCTTGTCTTTGCTTCTCGACTTTCTCACCAAGAAGATGGACTTTCCTACAAAGATTCTCTTGTTCTTGAGCGATGAAAAAAACAAGGAATTCACTAGTGCAATGGAAATATCCTATTCTCTCTAAAATAAGATGGAGGAACTAGTTTTCAAAACTTCAATGACTTGACTTTCACTCTTAACAAAGCAAGCATTTATGCGCTCTTCCCCTGACACACTATAGGCTCTATACAACTAAAACCTATGCTCGGATTTTCTTTCAACAAGGAAGGGCAATAGACCTTCATGGATATGGACGAGCGTGTGTGACCGAAGAAGATTATTGACATGAATACAATTGTAGTGGTGGTAAATGGAGAATCCATTAGAGTGCATCATGGTCCTTGGATCCCACAAATTCTGAGGCTCGACTACAACCAAAAAAGTTGTTGAATTTTGGGTTTGGAAATTCAATACTTAGAGGGAATTCAAAGTTCGATCCGTATACCATGCTTACCATAATAGATCAACTAACTTGCTTGATGGTGGAAGTAGCGTCCCGCCCATGAAAAAAGAAAGATGGAAATAGATATGGAGCTCATCATTGTCTCCAAAACTAGATTTCTTTGTGTGAAGATGCGCTAAAGGGGTCCTAGTAACCAAGAAGAAGCTTCATAGTAAGAGATTCTCATCAAACTCGACCTGAGTTATTTGCAAGATCAGAGAAGACTACCACCATTGTGTATTCTTGTGTACACACTCTCTCGAGGCATGGCTAGACTCATCTTTTGGATACTAAAGTTGTAGATTGATCCCTTATTGTAATAGAGGCTCTAACACCCACATCGTTCTTTAGTTCACATTCCTCCAAAGGTGCATATTGATAGCCAGAAATGAGAAGCATTTCAAAACTACACTCCTTGGCCCTTTGATAGTCACATGAATGTCTTGAGAGAGTTATTGGAGGGTACGAATTGCCCAAAAGTGAACCACCACCATCGGTAGACTATCGTTCAGTCCAAGGCAGCTCGTTTGCAACCGTGCCCTGATGCAATTGTAGTATATCACAAAGTAATAGCCTAGATTTTGTCTAGGGTCATATTCAACTGGTCTTTTTATAGAAACTACTTTGAAACTAACAACTTGTTCGTGAATAGCAATGCAATAAAAAGTAAACACGATGGGTTGAGGTTCCCTATAGATGGCTGAACTTCTACTTTAAGAAAATCAAGGTACGAGATGATTAAAGCAAGCAAGTAAACAAGATAGATAAATAAGATAAACCATTGTTTAGGTAGTTTCATCTAGATTTTCATGTATTCAATCTCTTAATTACATGCATCGATGCATCTTCTATAATGATACTCTATCCTTTTTGTTTAAATGCTTAATCATACTTTCGCTTCATGCAAAAAGAACTACAACTACTTAATGCGTGCTTTTGCTTCTTGTCATTAACTAATCAATCACACAAGGAAGCATGAATAACGCATTGTCATCTAAGGCCTCTATAAGCTCATAACAATGGTTTATGGCATTGATCATCTAGTATTTCAAACATCAATCTCATACAAGCATGCGTAATTGTGTCACCAACTAAACTTACACACATAGGATAAACGCATACCATATAAGAGCAGTTTTCAAGCAGCCTATAATGATATTATAAGCAACAACATAACACCACTCAATAGATGATACATAGCATCGATAAACTAAGACATCTTATTAAATCATAGAAAGAAAAGATACATGAATGTCATAGAATCCACATCCCTAAACAATAAAAAGACTTAGTTAGCCATTAAAGAGATGAAACCACCATTGATGATGAAAGAATATCCATTGAACTCAAGTGATTAAGTCATCTCCGACAAGGCTTTGCCTTAATCCCTACGATAAGATTTTTAAGGTGTGTCTAACCTCAAGGCTAAGCCTCTATTTATACTAGTAGTTGGAGGAAGAAAACTGTCTACAAATAAGTTTTTTTTTTTGCCAAAACCTGTACTTCCAAAACTCGAATTTGCTTCAAAGTCGGCGGGAAGCCCCTAGATTGTTCTAGAAGCCTCCCAGTCATATATGGACTCGTGTTGAGCACGACATCACCGACTTTGAACTTTGAATTGAGCCTTTTTTTTTAAATTCAAATGAGCTTAATCTTGGTGGACTTCTTTCTCCTGAACTATTTGGGTTGCTCATCAAATATCATATAAATTGTATTTTGTTTGATCCGCTTTGACCATGGTCAAAGGTAAGCCTGCTACACTACTACTTCTCTGGGCCATAAACTGCTCATTTGGTGTCCAAATCCACCTTCGTTTGAGCCCATGTGCTTGTACTCTCGTCATCTTTCTAGTCCATTAGTGACAATATTCCTTTTGAGTATATAATATCCTTAAAATGCATAAAATAACACCAAAATGTGTAAATAGTACAAAACACACTCAATGTCCAAATTAGGCATGTTGATTAGATAGTTACGAAATTCATATAGAATATATCAAAATTTACAAAGATGCATTGATAGTAGGAGAAATGTATCAAATATAGGGAGTGTAATTTGAGCGTCATCATGCCCACCAGCGAATAGTCCCATGTTGGAGATACACTTTGAACTTTAACCTTTAACTGTGACCTACCATCCATCGTACGTGTGGTATAATCATATTCATCGCCCAAATTCACCCAAATCAACCAATCCACCGCTTACTAACGAGTTGGTATAGTTTTGACGCACTATCTACCTACATTCTTTTTTGGTTTAAGATAGGTGGGTAGCAGATGTATGCAGTTAGCTTATGAGTTAACTTGCAAAAGAAATTCTCTACACAAATTATGAATATTATAATAATAGAAAGTATGTCTCGCTTTGGCTTCCATGGATAACATGTACTTGTGACGTGCAAAGTTTTCAACTACTCATACAAACTTTTCAATTGGTCCCTTTTAATGTAATATTCATTGAGAGAGAAAACAAAGTCATTAACCACATATTCATAGAGACCACCACTCCTCCCAGGGGCGGACCCACGGGGGACACCCCTAAAATTTGGGAAAACGATTATCCAACCCCCGGTAGTAATTTACGTATTGACAAAAAAATTATAATTGATAGTCGGGGACACCCCTAAATTTAAAAAAGTGATTATCCTACTCTCATCTTTTAGTTTGAGTATGAGAATATAAGTCGTAGTTTGGGTAATTCAAACCTAGGACACTTTTATTATTAATAAACATAATTTTCATTAGGCTACAACTCATATGTTATTCGATTTTAAACACCGTGTAATAGTATAATGTCATTCTCTATCTCTAATTATTTTCAAAATCTAACAATTAAACAAATTTCAAGCTACCCTTAATTTGTATTGATTTATGGTTGTACAATAAGTATTGAAAGAGTCTTTTCAGCTTTGGATTACATCAAGAACAAGTTTAGAAATTGAATATGTGATCAGTTCGTGAATGATTGTTTAATATGATATACAGAGACAATTTTTTTTTTTTGAATAGTGTAGATCCCAAGTGTGTTCTACAATCATTTTTTAATATGAAAACACATTGTGAGTTTTTTCAAACTGTATGAGTAAATATTTCTTATTTAAATATTATTTATTTTTTATTAATTATTTTAAAATTATTTGTATTTAATTTATTTTTTAAAAGAGGACACCCCTATGTAAAATTTCTGGGTCCGCCACTGGCT